AAAATACAAATACGTCTGTTCGGTTCAACTACAGAACATCACAATATTGCTACTGCATTATGGAGTATTGGTTTAATCTATAATAAAAAATCTGATTACAAGCGTGCACTCGATAATTTTATGAAAGCGCTGCAAATGTATGAAAATACACTACCTTGTGGCCACGATCTCACAATGAAGCTATTTTTAGCAATTGTTGAAAATTATGTTGTAAATGAAAATTTTCACAGTGCATCCGAATTCTGTGAAACAAAACTAGCACAATATCATCCGAATGTAGAGCCAAGCCATCCAAGTATCGCGAAAATCCGCCAACTCATGGGTTATATTGCATTTAAGAGCAATAAATATGAAGACGCATTCAGATTGTTCGAAGAAGCATTGCAATTATTGAAAGAACACAATCAACATGAGAATGAGTCGATTCTGGACTGTTTAAAATATCTTGCTGAAACAGAAAAACACAGAGACAATTACGCTGAGGCTCTTATTTATTTAGGTGAAGCATACAATATACAAAAGAACATATATTTACCTAATCAACCTCAAATTGCTGAAACACTTCGTCAGGTTGGCTTCGTTCATATGCATTTCAAAATATATGACAGAGCAGAGAAATTTTTAAACAAAGCTTTAATAATGTTCGGGGTTAATTTCAAGAGCGATCATGTAGATGTGAAGATAACTCTTGAACATCTGAGAAATGTGAGGAAAATACTGCGTAGATACTAGTGAATATTTCAAATTTCATCAGTCTCTTCCCTATTTTTCGTTTCATTAGCTCATATATTTAAAGTTGCGCTGCCTCCGATTGCCTTTTGGGGGGTGGGGGTGGGGGTGGGGGTGGGGGGGTGTTTATTATCTCTTAACCCACCCACACCCTCAAGATGGTTGTATATTTATCATAGCTAAAAGTCTCATAATTCTAACGTATCGTAGGGAAATGTACACTCCCTTACACCTCTTCTCGCTTAACATAGATACCAATTAAGTATAAATCCCGGTTGATTAAAATTATAATCTATAATTTCCGTATACTATGAATATGTTATTTGATTTATTATTAAGAATAAAATCAATCTTTTAATTATTCTCAAAATGATATGAGATTTAAACTGAGTTATAACTAATATTTTTTTATTTATATAAGATTGACTGTTGATAATTATATCAATATATATAATATTATTTCCACTCATTCAAATGATTTTCTATTGATAAATAAAAGAAAAGAAATTTAATTTGATATTTTTATATGGAAAAGTTCCTAAATAAAATAAAAATTAATAAAAATTTTGATTCAATTTTAATCAGTATTTTATAATCAACAAAAACTTTTGTATTTGTATCATAGATTCTATTATAATAAATTTGTAAAAATCTGTTTTTTTTATCAATATCTACACCCATTCTTATTTTAACGATGATTATCTATATTATAATTGAATAAATTTAAAAATGAAATATTAGTTTCACATATTCATCTTAATTTATCTCTTTCATAGCAAACAGAATTTGAAAGACAATCTGATAGATTATTAAATATTAAAATAAAATGAAAAAGTAAAATAAATGAATTATAATATTACATAATATCAGTCATATAATTTCAAATGAAATAATATCATTAAAAAGACATTTATTCAAATTTATATATAACAGCTCGAGCATACACATAAGAAAATATGTATTTATACATGTATGATATAGTCGTGATGCATTTAATTACTTATGAGAATAATGTAAATTATTAGAGAATAAAGATTGACTATATAATACAAAACATGTAGATACACCTTATTAAACCTAGGTGAGCTATTCTAATAATATATGAATATTTAATAAAAATAGATCAGATCTCTATTGAATGTTTTAAGATAAAAATCATTCTTCCAGAGCTTGGTAATTCAGTATAGATCATTTTTTGAGTTGAATCGAATTGAGTCGAAGAAAAGTTATTTGAGTTAATAAATCGATTTGAATTAAGAATTTTTTTCAAAGCACATGTAATTGAATCGAATTGACTTGCAATTTTCTCTCTTAATGAATTGAGTTGAGTTTCGCAGCTCTGCATTCCTTCCGAAAAATAGGTATAGGAAACTTTAACTCGCTCAACAGTTTCTAATTATGCCACTACGTTCATCTGTTATTTGTAAAATTTATTTTGATGAAAGAAGAAGCATTCGACAGAATGACAATTAGATAAATAAAATCAAAAATATATATCTAATTGTTACTAATAATAAATATTTTATAAAATATAAAAAAAATAATAAAAACATTTCTTTTTGAATAGAATCATTTGATAATAAATTTGTTATTTTATTCATAATTTGTTAAACAAAGAATCTTTTAATTAAATATATAGAGTCTTTCTTTATTGAGGGTGTGGGTGTGAGTTTGAGTGTGAGTGTTTACTACAAGAAGAGATACCCACACCCTACAATTTGAGATTTGCCACGCCCTCTGGTAAGTATCAGTATGATGATAAGATAACAACAATGTTATGCGTATTTCATAATCTTTTACAAGTTCGACGATTTATCAGAATTTATCAATATATTTTCTTTATCTTTCTAGTTTTGTGATGTATGCATACTTGTCAACATATTAGTTTAGCTGCCATCAATGTTCTCGAATCAAAATGTCGTAAATTGGTTATATTGAGAGTCATAAGAAAATAAAAACTTTCATTATTTACTGAGTTAATCGTGATTAATAAAATTAAAAAAGTAAAAACTAAGTGTAATTTTGTAAGATTTAGTGTAAATTATATAAGAACACAGAGGAGAAAAATTGAATTGCAATCAAAACAATCTCTAAAAATTCAGTTTATTTTTTCTTACAAACAATAAATCTAATACCTAGTTGATGTATATTAGCGTCCTGTTGTCAGAATATTGCTATGAATAGAACGATGTTATCTCAATGAAAACCGAAAACTAATATACTCTTAATTTATATTCAATTCTAGTTCACATTCAGACTAAATATCATCAGTAAATAATGTACAGCATGAAAAAAAAATAGTTCAAATTAAACAGAACGAGTAAAATAAATGTAGTCATTTAGTAGAAGTCGGTAATGATTGAAAAGATGAATCATTTTAATCAAATATATATATATATATATATAGACAAAGTTAGTTTTATTTTTCAATACTCATAAATAATACTTTTCAAATGGTTCATAAAAATAGGTATTTTAATATTTATCTCTATACTTAAAGAATTGAACGTTTAGAAAAACTGTTGATAACGAACAAGAAGTTGAAGAAACTATCAATAATAAAGAATATCTACGTAGTAGTGAAGAA